ATAGCCAGGCGTCAGGGGCAGCTCTCCTCTTGTACCTCTGCTAGGAAATGAACCAAAGTGGGGCTGTCTGGGAAATGATTGCTTTGATGGAGTTAATTTTTTTCATAGAAAACAATAGACTTTTGTTAAATTGATGTTGGATACAGACTTGAATATTCTGATTTAAAATGTTTTGCTTGGAATCTTTCTATTTTAGAAAAGGAAGCAATGATTTCACTTAAAAAAAGTTTATTTAAAACTTCTTGATTTAATATTGACTACGGTCATCTTTTTTTAGGAAATAATATAAACAACCATGTTTATCTTGCAATTTAAAAGTAATTACAAGCTCAACTGCTGAAAGGAAACAGACGCTGGTCTAGACAAAACAGTGTCTTGCAGTGAGTTCTAAGAGGCAGCCATCCTCGCTGCTTCAGCAAGTGATCTGAAAACAGGAAACTTTGGACAGTTACGTTACCTGGTGATACCAACAGATGATGCAGTGAATAGAACATCATCACCTGTTAGGACACCATAACACAAAATAATTGACCAGCTAAGATTCAAAGTGAAAATAAGAAAATAGTCCAGATCTTTAGGAAAATAAACCTTTGTTTTAAATGAGCACAATCCTCCTCCTGTAAAAATGTTCTGCAATCCTTTATTGCACCAGGCTGGCAGTATGGCAGCATGGTCCAGCTCAGCTGAACTCCAAAGGAGTGTGAGCATTTGATGGCATATCGGAAAGCACAGCACAGGAGAGAAAACAAAAGCAGAATGCAGAGCAGTAGCCCTGCTTCTGTGATAGGAGGAAGGAAGTGGTTTCTCATCCAGCCACATGGGCAGGGACACCAGCTGGCTCTCTCTCCTTGGGGCTGCATGGGGTACTTCCATCCCACAGGGCTGGCAGTTCTCAACCCTGTACTGTGTTGCCTTGGGGACCTTGGGAGGAGAAACCTCATTGGAGACAACAGAAGCCAGCAGCAGGAGTACTCCTCTTGCATGTATCCTCCTGCAGCCATATGCAAAAGGCAGAGAGCTGCGTATTAGGCGCGTTACTGAGATGGTAATGGGGAAAAGGTTTGCATCATTCCTTTAGGCAAGGTTCTGCTGCAGCAGAGTTGAACTGTATTACTAAAGGCATCCAGAAGCCAGTGAGGCTGCTGGTGACCAGTCTCTGTGGGGCAAAATCACGGTGTGAGAGTTTACAGCCAAGATAATGTGCTGTGGGGTTGGCAGTGCTACAGGCCCCAGCCTACTGCTATGAGCACAGAGAGTTGCTGCCCGCCTTCTCCTAACAGGATGAGGTGTTAGGTTGGGTGGGAGTGGGTTGTCACTACCTTGTACAGCCCTTGTGGGTATCTTTAAGGGGTTGCTGTTGAGGAGAACATGAGCTAACAGCAAGCATTGCTTTATGAGCAGTACACATGGTAAACAAGATTAGCCATAATGAGATTAGCCTTCACCAGGCTAAACCATGGCTGAGTTCATCTTGCTCTGAGGCAACCCTAAAGCAATTGCAGCACTAAGTGCATGTAAACAAACACACAAAAAAAATTAAAAAGAGGCAATTGGTTGGCACAGTAAGCTTGTGGGCCCCTCGCTTCAAAGGAAACTCTGTGTGCCCATGTTAGATCTCCATCAGGAGGGGGGGATGCAATTTCTTTGGAGGTGCTGTTCTCAGGGAGCAGTGCTGAGAGGCGAGACCCAGCCTGTGGTCTGGGAATGGCCTCCTGGCAGGCCCATGGCACGCAGAGCAGCAGGCCTCCTGGTGTGACTGATGTCCTATGCACTTATGCCAGCCATTAGATGTCTATGGCCTTATGGTGGTGCAAATTAAATTAAAATCTGTTTCCGTCATGCTGTTGCAATGAAGGACTGATCTGGTGGTGTTCTCAAGCCAGCATGGTTTGAGCCATCCAATCTGTCCCAGTAGCCCCTGCTGTGAGTATAACTCCCTTGGCCTCAAGATCCTGCTACAGTTGAACGTGCAGCAAAGGGAGAATGGCTGGCATTTTAGCAAACATCGTTTGCATCCTTGCTGCTACTGCTTGCAGGTTTTGGACTTTTTATTTTCTCGGTCAAATCTCATTATCAACCATCAACTTGCTGATATTCAAAATCCAAAGCAATGTGATGATTTGTTTCCCATCAGATATTAAATGGATATTTTACTTTCAGTAATTAGTCTTTTAATGCATATAAATTCTCTTTTCAACAGAAGAAAAATATGACCTAAAAGTCTTTAACGCCAACCTACTCTTTTTTTTTTCCCTGCTTCTTTTCACTAATCACTGTGTCTGTAGTGCCAGACTAAAATTATGCTGCTTAAACTTGGTAGAGTACTGGCTCAACAGCAAAAATGGGAAAATAAGACAGAGGAAAGGAGTGGAAAGCAAAAAACCTTACAGTACAGCAGGAATGCTTTTCTATTCCATTTCATATTATGCAGTGTGCAGAAGCATCCAATTTGATAAATTGACTCAGAACAAACTGCTAGCGAGAGAGCAGGAATAAAAGCAGACACCGACCTGCTAATAGACTCAAATTAAGTGAACTTCTTGCTGGCCCCGCCACCTTCCCAGAACAGTGCAAAGCTGAGAGTCAGGCACACTGTCAGGCAGTGTGTGTGCAGGGCTAAGGCCTGGCCTGGCCATGGGGTGGGTTGCAGTGCCCTGCATGGGCACCCTGATACTGTGCCCACAACCGGTAGTCACTAGTTGCCTGAGTAGTGGTGCCAAGAAGATACAAAGAGGTAGGCCAGTTGTGTGCATTGGGTTGGCTTGGTGCAAATTGAGAGTGTGTGTGTGAAGAGGAGGTATTTGCGTTAGTATTTGTGATATTTCTCTTTCTCAGAAGCCCTATTAGTAATCTCCCACTTCAGCACTTCACTTGTTGGTTAGTCCCCATTCTCCAAATGCTACCATGTCACAGAGGGAATACCAGCCCAGAAATAATTAGTATGGCAATTTGGCACTCACTCTGCAAATTACATCTAGCAGTTGCATGCAAAACTGTCTGGAAATAATCTGGTATTTATCAAGAGTTAGTTTAGTAATGGAACTTTTTGTTACTGTTGCTGTTCTGTTGAAGTTTGTGGTTGAGGACTGTTGCTCTGTTGCTGATGGAAACATTTTCCAGCAAGAGGTAGAGATGTTAAACCTTTTCTACGTCTGTTTGTTGGAATGAGGTGTCCTGACTTAGTATCTGTTCAAAATACAAGTGTTCTCTGACAGTTACTCTCTGGAGCTCTGCCAAATTCTGTATTTTATGCACATGATAGATTATTGGAGCTCTTCCTCCTGTAATTAACCATTAATAGGTGCAGAGACAACAGTGAGATCTCCCACTACTAAGATGGCTGCTGAACCTAAGCTGAACCATAATGCCTCCTGGTGCAGAGGAGCAGTGGTGCCAGGAAAGGCTAGAAGCCACTTCTGGAGCAGGGGGCAGCTTTTATTGCTGAGAGATGGTGCCCTTGAGCTTGAATTTGAAACCTCTCCATCCATAACAAACATTTTTAGGACAATGGTGAGAGAAGGGCAGATTAGACTTCCTTCTGCCAACAGCCCCACCTTGGACCAAAACAGTGCCTTCAGCAAATGTGGGTTTTGCCCTACTCTGCAGGTGCTCTCTCTGGAGAGCTGCAGCTGAGTATGCTGGCCCTGGCCCAGCCCAGCTCCCAGTCACGTCACTCAGTGTCCCCAGCCAGCCTGTCCATGGCACCAGGAGCCTTTGCAGCACATCTGGCTGATGGGATTTAAAGAGGGGAATAATAGACAGTGGGCTCCCAACCATGGAAAATCCAACATCCTTGTAACATGGGTGGTACTAAGGTATGAGCACTCATGGATTGAGGTGTTGGTCTAATTATAATACTTTTCTTCTGGCAGCCTTTAGCTCCCTTCAGATTAGTGGTTCCTATAATAATTATGACTGCCAAATGAAGGCATCTGTAAATGCTAAAACTTGCAAGCTCTTACCAAGTTCACAGCAGTCCTGTTTGTGAGATAAGTTCTGCATCTTTCCAGCTGACTGCCAGTAGAAATGCCCCAGTGACTGGCGTGTGCCCTCTCCCCTTTCTCCAGAGCAGCCTCTCCTGTGCTGTCCTGGTGCCCCCCCCATTGGCTGCTGGGCTCCCTGGCATGTGCACGCTGGTGGCCTTGACACGGTGCAGTACACTTGTGCCGGAGCCTTTCTGTAAACATGTTTTGGCAAATGCTATAAAGGAGTCATTTGACAACACACTCATTTGAACCCGAAAGGCTAAAGCAGAAGTGACAGCATAGCATCATCACTCTGCTACCACCGGCTTATTATGTTTATTCAACATATGTTGTTATTGAATTAAAGTGATATTTTTCAATTAACAAGTGCAGCAAAGAATGAAACCCTCCTAGCTCGTTCCTTTTTCTCTAGCCACGTGTACAGCTGCTGCAGGGTGCCCAGGCCGTGGAAAATGAATGGAGGGGCTGAGGACAGAGTTGGGGCATCACATGTGTCCTGTGGCCCTGTGGAGGGCTCTGGCTCCAGGACATGGCAGTAAACTGTGACCCAGGCACCTCCAGGCTTGTCTGGACTCTTGTGGAGGCTGTTGGACCCAGGGGTCATCCTGTTGCCCTGCTCCGAGACAGCCGCTGGCTTCGGCAATACACAAGGTGATGTTAATTTTGATTTGGAGTGTGCAGTAATGAGCAAGCAGTGTGATTAATGCATAAAGCTGACAGAATGCACAGGTGTCTTCAAAGAAGCAGAGTGTATGAGGTCAAGAAAGGTGTGTGGGGTGAAATGATGTTTCAGAAGCAGAAAGCACGCCTGGCTGACTCATGAGCTGAACTGTGCAATAATCACAGGTAATTATTGCACACTAGCCATCAGAGTATCTGCATGCATGCCACACTGACCTGCACTACAGTTCCCATTTTGGCTCTGGCATTCTCTGTTCACACTGCAGAACAGAGATGAGGAGCCATTTCTACCAGGGTCAATATTCAGGTTGTTTCCCCATCCTGCTCCCACAGGTGGCATTGAGGCATGTCCTGCAATGGTGAGGAGAGGAGAGCCACTGACTTCAGAGCAATGGAGAACGAAGATGCCTTTGTGTTCACCCTGAAATACATCTGTGCTACAGTAATATGCTTCTGAATCAGTGGCAGGGAGGTTGCTTACAGTTGTGCTATTTTTACTGCAGTGAAAGCAAAGGAAGGCATGCAAGGCTGTGAGCACAGGTAAGGCAGGGGTTATGGGTTACTGGGTACAGCAGGCTGCAGCCTGTGGGCAGAGCAGTGAGGTTGAGCCCTGCTTTGGGCACCACAGTGGCAGCAGCCTAGGGAGTTCACTCAACCCAGGGGCAGCTTCTGGGGCTGTCTGTGAGCTCTGTCGCGGTGGTTTGGATTTCATGTCGCTCCCATCCCTTGGTACTGTCCTGATGGGTCGGTATTGGTGGCAGTGAGCTGATAAGTGAAGACATCACATAGAGGGATTAGATCCCTAAGGGGTTGTTTGAATTTGGAGGATAGCACAGATTTTTTGTGTTATTTTCAGTCTAGACACAGGCCTGGCCTTGGAAGAGGAGCAGATCTACAAGCTGGTAGTTTAAGGGCAGGAAATTCATCTTGTATAGTGAGTAGGGATTCCTTGGGCCCTAACAGCCATTTTGTTACCCCCATGGCAGGGCTGCACACAACTTCAAAGCAAAGCTGGCTCTCACCACACAACTCAGGGGAACATCCTTTTGTGCTGCTGACACGCACCCCCCCCTTCAAAGCTAGGCTTTGGGCTGCATACATTACAGACAAAGTATTTGGAGCTAGCCTTGGAGCTAGATCCACGGATAGCTTTTTATCAGTGTTTCAAATGAAGTGCTTAGAAACATAGCAATGAGTAATAATTAACATCTGTCTAGACCTATATGAAATCTGTACTATATAGAACATACATATATAAACATGTCTATATTGCAGATGAGTACATATAAGGCACTGTTTATACACCTAACATTTCATGCAGCAAAATACCATTTCAGCTGAAGTAGCATGAAGTCATCCTCGTTCTGCTATAATACAGACATCTCTCATCTATTTTTAGGTCCGTCTGCCCAATTCAGCAGCACTGGTAAAACAGTAACACTTTCCTTTCTCTTCTTGTGATGCTAATTTTATTCTGGTATCCAGACTCTTGCTGGCCTCTTGCTTCATCCACACCCATGTGGACTGGAAAGTTCAATTAACGTAATGAATGGCCCAACACCTGAGTTGTTGCAGCAGGCAAAGGGGAGCTCTGCCAAGTCCGAGGTGCTGTGGTGAGCTACCAGGGGGAAGCAGTTTGCTTCTAAGGCCTCAAATCCTACTATGGATAACTGGGATGAATCCAGGCACCCAAGTAGAGAAAGAAATCTCTCTGAATTAGTTACTCATCAGTGTGTGCTGCCCTAACCTGGAGGTTACACCTTTCTTCATTACTGAAGGGCAACGCAGATGGCAGGGACAGGCGGTATTCGAATGTTGATGTAAGACCAGAGAAGCGGTGTCTGTCGCAGCACAAATGTTAGGATCGCAGGTACCGCTGCAAGCCCTCGGGCTGTTGGGGAAATAGTTAAGCTTGGAAAGTTCTGTCGCACCGAGTGTGCAGGCTTTCCGCGGTATTGGCTACGGGCTGTAAGGCAGGAGGTAGTTTGCATCTCGCGTTAGACTGCTTCTGCCTCCATTACCCGAGCCCAGCAGTTAGCGGGGCACCGCGCAGCCCGCAGCCGCTGAGCGGGCGCTCCCCTCTCCTCTTAGCAGGACCTGGAGAAACGCTGCCCTCTGCTGCGGGAAAGAGAGGCGGCCGTCGGCGCACGCCCGCAGCCGCTCTTCGCCCGGCCCGGGGCTGGCTCTGCTCGTAGGCGGCTGCCGGCGCTCTGACAGAGCCCTAGGGCAGCAGCCGTCGGCCATTCTCTGTGCCTGTTGCTGGGCTGTACAGTGTCTTTAGTGGCCCTCGTTCTCACCTGGTTGTTTGGCTTTGGGCCAGCCACCACGGCTTGATTTATAGAGGCTCCGCGCTAGATGGTGAAATAATATTCAGCTTGGAACAGACGCAGCGTATTGTTCAAGTGTTAATCAACCATACAACAGCCCTCAGGAGAGAGGCAAGCAAGTTTTTAACCTTCATTTTACAGATGCAGAAGGAGGTTAAGAGACTGCCAGGTTCCCCATAGCAGCAATGCTGATGGTGGGCACTGTGGCTCTGGGCAGTGCCGCTCATCAGTCCCGGGGGTCAGGAGCCTGTGCCAGGGAAAGGGAAGTGGCTGTGCAGCCCCATTGTTTGGGTGCCTTAGCTTTAAATGCTGTTATTTCTTCTCTTGCCTGGACAAGAGGATTTCCAATGGGCTGCAGGTGAGGGCCCCAACGAAACCACTCTGCCTTATTTCTCAAACATTGGAAGCACCTACCTGTTATTTTAAGAAGTGCCATGCTGTAGTGAAGGATAGGAGAGAATTGCTAAGGTTGAAGAAAACCCACAGGCATGTATATGTCCTTGTGCCACTGCTAGCCTCTGTGTGCAGAAAGACCTCTTCTGTTTGGCTGCAGTGCCGTTGGAAACCACAAGCTCTTTGTTAACCACTAAAGGAGATGTTCTTCCGGCTAAACTTGCACCAAATCACAAGTTGCCCAAAAGTAGGCTATTGATTCAAAGGCTTATCATTAACGCAACATTCACTCATTCCAATGCCTCACCTCCAGCATCACAATGAGCGCCAGTAAAATTAAATTAGTGCTGTGCTAGTGGGCAGCTGGGAGAGTGCTCTCAGTGCACAGAGAAACAAAGGCAGGAGGAGGATGTGGCCCCAGTGCTGCCTGCAGCACACACAGAGCCTTTGTGCTCAGGTGCTGTGTGCAGGGTGGGCTGTGGGCCTTTCCCTTCCCAGCTGCATAGCGGACTGCTCCGGGGGCTCGGGGCACATCTCACACAATGAGCCACGTAGGAGGAAGCGTTTACCATGTAATTCAGGTAGGGAAAGCAGCACATGTGAGTGGCATAGAACCTTCCGGCCCTTGTAGATTATATGATTTATACATTCACTCAAACAGCAATGAATGAGCAGTCTTAAAGAAGGCAATATGCTATTGTGCAGTTACTTCTATGCCTTGTTTTTTTTAATGAAAGGGATTATACATTCAAAGTTAATTAACTCATTTCTCAAAATCATTTACACATCTGCTCTGTTTCCAGTAAAACTCCAGTTTCACATTAGTAACTTCAGAAATCTATGAAGAAAAAAGAAGACAACCGACCAACCCAACCTCCTGCATTAGCTACTCTGTTTCATTTGCAATGACTTCAGATGTGGAATTGTTAATACTAACGAATTTCACAGGCTGCACTTTGGCCCATGAATTTGCATCAGTCCATGCTTTGGAAGGGCAGTCACTTAAGTACTAGCCTGGAACCGGTGTCCGCCTGAGCATGCCACTAGCAGGTGGCATGTGCCAGCTGAGGAGGTCTCCGATGGCCGACTGTGCCCTTATCTGCCTTGATAGTCCTGCTTTTCATCACTTCTACTGGCCAGAATCTGAACTGGAAGGGAATGTGGGAAGGGGCATGCCTCAGCACAGCCACTCTCGTGCTGCACCAGCTCAGCAGGCATGAAGCACAGAGGAAGGAGAGAAGTGGCCCTTCTTGAGAAGAGCAATGTAAACACAGGCTGGTGTTGCCTCTGCCATGCCACATGCGTGGAGCATTCCTGCTTCCTTGTGCTGATGGTGAGCTTACTGTTTTAATTAAGCTATTATTTCAATAACCATCATGAAGTGTGGGCATGGCTTGGGAAACATTAAAACCAGGGTAAACAAAGAATGTAGCACTCCATCTGCTTCTCACACTGCAGTTCAGCACCGGGAATGTTTGGGCAGCACACACAGCTGAGTACTGTCAGTATTTGCAGTAGGACTCACCACGCCAAGCCCAGCCCGCGAGTTGTGCGTGGGCAGGGGGCCTTCAGTGTTTTAAATGATTTGTTCTTTTCTGTTGTGAAGAACACCTCGGCTTCCTCGCGCCGAATGCTGCCTGTGAAGTCTGCTTTGCCACTTAAGGGATGCTAAATGGAAGCTAGCCAATGAAACGGAGGTAAATTTAATTACAAAAATATAACATTCTTCAAAACCAACAGCTCACTCTCTCCCCAATGAGGAAAAATTAAAATAAAGGCCCTTTGGAAACGCTGAGGAAATATCAGGGGCTGAGGTGAAAGGGACACAGCTTGACAAGTACGCTGAAAGCTGAATGTGGATTACCCGTGAGTGCAAAAATGAATAAATGTGTTTTATTCCATTATATTAATGAAATGGTTAATTCGGTTGCTATAGCAACAAAGAACAGCCTTGCTAAAAAGCTAAAGGGCTATACATAATGCCTGCTACAAGGTCTCTCTAATTCTAAAGCTGATTTTCTTAGCTACAATAGAAGTGATATGTGTTTTCAATATCATCTTAAGCTTTTGCATCAAATCCTGAAGCTAATCCAATAAATAGACTGGTAGCATAAAATAGCATATATGTTTGCACCTCATAAAACTTACAAAAGGGGCTTACCTACACACAGTCAAAAGAAAAGATCGATAGAGTGCGGAGTGAGGCTTTCTAAAAGACCGTTCTTCATGCGATGGTGAAACAGCAAATATGTACAATGGGAAGTTCCTGCAATTACACATCACGTGACTGTGCAGGAAATCACTGCAGAGCTGCCTGAGACACCAAGACACAATTTTGCTGACCGCCTCGATACATATTTATCCTTATGCAAAGTAGAATTTATTTCTGTTTCACTTGCATTTTGTATTATTTTATCAAATAATATAAATAATTCTTAAAGGCTTCAAAAAAGGAATTCTACAGTCCTGTTTTTGTTCTAACATCAAAGCGATGCAAGGGCTGACCGGGGCCCTGCAGCAGCGCAGAGGACAGACTGAATCTTGCGAAGCCAAAGCAGAGCATGACAGCCCTGGGCAGCCCTTGCATCCCCTACTTGGGGCAGTCAGCACCATACGGCCCTGTTGCCTCCATTGGGATGGGGATGGCCATGCAGCCAAGCACCTCTGCCCTTTGCTTTGCCTCTCTTGTTTGCGTCAGAGTTGTCAAACGTCCTATCGCTCACCCTTCCTAAAATAAATGAGAATGCAGTACACCCACACGAGTGGCAGAAGCCTCTGACTGTCACCAAACTCAGACTTACAGATCTCTGGTGTGTACCTGCACAAAAGGGCTGCCTCTTATCTGCAGGCCATCTCATCTGCACAACAATGGGAGTTTGGTTCCCCACAAACCCTATTTCTCAACAATTACATGTGGAGACTTCAGAGACAAGCCCTAACCCTGTCTTCAGTGAGCAGAAGGAGGGCTGTGGCTCCGGACCAGGCAGGTGAGAAGTGTGGCCTTGGGGAGGCCTGCAGGCACAGACAATGTGTGCTGCCCATGGAGGCATCCAGTGTGTTTGCTTCTTTCTTGGCTGAAATGCAAGCGAAGAACTCCTGAGGTGGCTGGTAGTCATACCAAGGAGCAACCTTAACTGTGCTGTAATGTCATGTGCTTGGTGTAAAAAAAAGATGAGCTGGGAAAGCCCAGCCACAAAGGCTGCAGGCACATTCTCTTGAAGAAATGACCACAGAGTGCACAGTTCCTCAGAAAAGAAAAATGGCAACAGCAGAGACAAGTGACCCAGATGGCCCATAAGCAGCCTAATTAACTGAAAGGCCCAGCAGCCACACTACAACTACCAATCCAGCTGCCTACAGATTCTGCCAGGTTGCCAGATGTTGCCAATGAAAACTTATCTTGCACAGTTCATCAAAGAAGTGGAGCATCCTAGTGAAGGGAAACTGTTGCCAATAAAATAAATACTTTATCTAAAAAAATATTTTCTACTAGGAAATGTCGAAAAATATAAAAATTTAACAATGTGTTCAACCTCACTGTTACAGTAGATATACATACAGAATGTGTTGGCAGGATCTTCTTCTTGACAAGAAATATCCATGCTTACCATTATATTTCTAAGGCTACAGTCTTGGACTGTGTTAAAAAAGGTGGTTTTATGAAGCATGGAGCTGCTGCCACTCACTTGGGGTTTGGCTAGTTTGCCTGGAACTAGCAAGTTCTTTTGCCACATTGAGATAACAAAGCTGGAGGAACCAACAGTGAGAGAAATACGTATGGGAAGATGGGGAGAGGGATGCAGGGGCAGTGAGCGACTCTGGGGCTGCTGGCTGCCAAGCTGTCTCTTCCATGGGTGCCCTCTCCTGTGTCCTTGAAGAGACAATGCAGAAGACTCCAGACAGGTAGACTGTGTGATTCTCTTGCCCAATTTTAGGGACCAAGCAAATGGGCGTCTGCAAACGAGTCCTCCTCCTCCAAGAAATGGTAAAGCATCAGAGCAGTGTGCAAATTCATTGGCTGCAACGCTGGAAATATAGGCTGCCCATCAGGTTTGTGCACAAACACTGGTTTTAATTTTGCTAAGAGACCAAATTAATGTTTCATTTCAAATCATGAAAAATACATATTTTTAAAATCCTGTGTAATTTTTCAAGTGCAGCTATTATTGTTGCCAGTGCTGTGCCTTGGAAATACTGAGTATGTTCATCCTAGAGGCCAAAAACCAAACTGCCTCTATAGCCTGTTAGCAAGGCAAAACATCTCTTTTTCCAATGAACGTGTATGAGTGCACTGGGATTCACACAAGCATATTTGGCAGACTTTTCAAGTATTTCTTGGACTGAAGAGCATGCATTGAATATGGGGAGCTTTTTCTGCTCAGGAATATGATGTGAATAAGAATGTGCTAGTGCGGCAGAGGAGGATGGGCTGTGGCATTTCTATCATTATTTAATTTGTCAAATACAGTTTACAATATTTTATAACAGTTATCAACAGGACAACGTGTCTAAATGCTGTGAGGGTCAGGGTTGCAGTATCTGGCTCAGTATGCCTTTAATAATACATAATTCCTTAAATGTGCAGATAAATCACTGAAATACATGAGCTTAATTTGGAACCTTTTATGCTTTGAAAATTCATATCCCTTTTTAAATAACTGGCTACAGCGTTTGCAAAATAGACCAGATTTTACTTGGACCAGATTTTACTGATTTGTTTCCTTGTTCTTGAATGTGCTCAGTGGGATGGATTCCCCAAGATGGAGGTATAAACCTACAGAACCCAGGTCTTTTGTATCTTCCTCTACCCACTGTTAACACCTCATCTGACTGATGTGTTAAGACCTGCAGGAGACCTAAATGTGGCCATTTCTCTGAGTTCCAGCAACACAGAGATATATCACTGACTGTCAGAGGTAGAAATTATCCACATTCCTTCAGGAATGCATTTCCCAAAACTGTTAATGGACTTGGGAGAGGAGGAGTGGGGAAGAGGGTGGGTGGGAAGAAAGAAATCTGAACAATATAACGTGTTATTCCTCTTTTAGGTTTTGTTGTTGTTGTTGTTTTTTAAATGGAATTATAGTCTTGTTTCTCATCTTGACCCACAGAATATCACTAATTTTCCAAAGATTACTTTATAGCAATTTAGGAACACTGGATATCCTGGGAATACTGATTATCACAAGAAAAGCTCTGTTTTTTTTGCTACATTTGCGATGTAAAAGAAGTACCTGTGTTTAGTCACTTAATTGAATCAGGTTTCATGGCATCCTCTGTGTTTGAAAGGAGCCATGCTACCAGATGTGATGTTTTCAGTAGAGGAAGGGACAGCGTTTGAAGATTGTGATAGGATACCAAGTAAGAGGTAGGTGGTAGCAGCCTGGGATAGGATAGACATGGGTCCTTGTGTCTGCTAACTGAGCATATAAGAGCTACCTGCAGAAAATCTGGATTTGATTTTTTTCTGCCCTGCTCAAGAGCACAGGTACTTATCAACCAGCTTTTCAGAAAGAAGACTGAGACTACCCAGATCTCGCCCCAAACACTCACCAAACAACTTGTTCTCTCTGAGTCTCCTATTACTCATGTGAGAGAAGGAGCTACCAGAAGACCAAAAGCTTGAAATGAGTTTCAGGCAAATATTTTTTAATCAGTACAAGTATCTGTTTCTACTCAAGCATGAAGAATTCACAACTGTGAGGAGAAGTATGAAGACAAAGCTATTAGTGGAGACTTCGGGCTTGAGCCTGCCAGGGGATGTCACAAGGTGAGCCTTCAGTGTGGGGAAAAGGATACAAAAGGAAGACACGTCAATGGGAGACAAAGAAACACCAAACAGGGGCAAAGAGCATGCTGCATTCTGCACTACAGGCAATTAGTGGAATAATGTAAACGTAAATTAACTCATTAATGATTCCTGGAGTGCATTATAGAGATCACGAAACACCACCTGACAAGTCTCTGAAATAAAATTCTGCTTTGTAAGTAATACAAAAAAAAAAACAAACAAAAAACTCAACACCAACAAGTTGGTTTCAATATTTATTTGTAATTTGGAGCACAAATCTCAAACCAGGAAAGTTGGAATATTTTTAATCAAAGCTTTGGTCGATTACAATATGGGGTATAAGAAATTGAATGAATAGATCATTTATTATTATTATGAAACTAAAGGCTTTATGTTCTTAAGTGGAGTAAAGCTGACAGCAATGCATTCATATTAGAAAGTTCCTACTGTGAATGAAAAATGGGTTAATACTGAAATGTTCTTCAGTGAGACAGACAAATCTGTACTTCTTTTTGGTTGTGAAATCACGGTAGCGATACGCAACCACTAACTATGAAGAATTGGCAATGGGGGAAATCATCTTGCCAGTTTGCCCTACACACGTATGTTTGGCAAACGTGGTTTGCTGGGTGTGTATTCCAATTGCACCTAATCAGATCTCTGACCTGTATCATGTACATTCCGGAACATTAATTGGCACAATTAAAAAGTTATTTAGAGGATGAGCTTGGAAAAAACACGTTGTCCCTTCTCCAAATCCTAAAATGAAACCTGGGCTTTGCAATAAGCTGGTTTAACTGTTTGTAGATAGATGTTACAAGTGTTCACTGGGGGAAAAAAGTAAGGATGACGGTACCCAGGCAACACCAAATCTGAATAGTTCAGCATGTGTCAGGGTACAGCAAATTTATTCTTATTAAGTGACTGGTGTGAGAAAGAATTAGAAAGGATTATAAAAATACACTACCATATGCTGCAGTAGTTGAAAGTGATTAATCCAGTTCTTAAATCCTATTTTAAATTCCCTTTCATTTCTTCCCATAGAAAAATGGAAGCAACATCACTTTGTTTGAATGCTGTGTAGTTAATTACATCTTCTAAGAAACTCTTTTAAAATGAAATGTAATGTTTAATTACAAAATGCCTCCTTGAAAACTGTTAGCTTGTACATTGATTTGTAGTTCATTAAAAATGGTTTCTTAATTATATTTACAGCCAGAAATTACATAGAGATTAAACAGCCTACAGAGGACTTTTGAAATTACGGCACAAATCGCAAGGAAAAAGTTACATTTCAGACAGTGGACAACTGACAGCTACAACCACCTAATTGCTGCCTTTCTGTAATTTCAGAACCTAATTGTCATAAAAATAATAACTGGAAAAAAAGACAGTTCACTGTAATGACTCCCAATATCGCTTTTTTTTTTTCATAAAGGTTGATTTTGAGGTTTAATTAGAAGGCAGATCAGTGGCGGTGAGGCAGCGCAGGGCAGGCACGGCTCAGCACAGGGGGCTCAGGGCCAGGGGCAGCCCTCGCCGGGGCTCATATGGGGTGGTCCTGGGAACCATGCGGATGCAGTCGATGATGGGGCAGACGCTGAGGCACAGGGTGCAGCCCGTGCAGCTGTCTGTGACCGTGGGCAGGTGGGTTTCAGCATCAAACTGGATAGCCTGCGGATGGGAGGGTCACGTTATTGATGCCCCTTGCGGGAAAGGTCAGAACCGCTCCCATTTCAGTGCCTGCATTTCCTGCAGTGCAGCTCTTGGAGACATCTTGGCGCGCTCCGGTGCTGCAGCTATAGCAACTGTTGGGCTGGCAGGGAAGAAGCCCCCTGACTCTCTGCAATTAGGAACGCCATCCCAGCCTCCAGAGCGGGCTGTAATGGATGACTCCTGCAGCTCAGGCTCACAGGGATGATACCCTGTCCAGAGGCAGTGTCAGCACAGTCCTCTGCCAGGGAGCACCGACACACAGCCGTAGCCGCAGAGCAGTGCTGACAGCAAGCACCTCTGGGCTATTCTGGCTTTTTATTGTCAGCAAAGCACAAGCAATTTAATAAAAAATGGGGAGAAACACACCATGTTGTGCCTTCTGATTATTTTCCTTTGCAAGTCTTCGAAAGGACTATCTGAGTTTTGGGCAGGCAGAGCTTTCTTTCTTTCTCACATTTCCATGCAGTGAATTCTCATTACCAATTAGTGTGATAAGTGAATTTGAATGTGAAATAACAATTGAAGTCTCAATGAAATAAGCTCCTGGTATAATGGAAATGGCAATTAAAAACATAAACAAAAGCATCACAAAACCGCAAAAGCTCCAGTGTCTAAGAAACAAGCCTAGGAAAGTTTTAAAAAAATAAACAGTAGAAAATCTAAGAGTTTTAGGAAGACAAGACCTTTCCTGGCCTGGAAACCAAACTCTCACGTATCTGCAACCAAGCTGGGCCTGCAAACGTCCCCAGGTACTGCTAGCAGCTGGGGAGCAAGCGGGTGGGTCTGTGGGGCAGCTCCAGGGCACGCCTGTGGCATTTGGGGTTTTGTAGGGGAGAAAGTGATGAAATGGATGCAGAAAAAGCGAGGGCACAAAGTAGGTACAAAACACCTTGAATCTGTGTGTTTTAATTCAGCTTGAGCACAAAGAAAACTTTGGTTTGCATTTAGGTTTCCTTCCCTTCTCCCCAGTAACAATGTGCATCATTATGGAGTTCGAAGAGACGGAGTCCTGGACTGCAGTGCCACCTTCAAGTTAGGGAAAGCTCTTCTGCTGGAGCCCTACAAGATGGTAGCTCTGCTGAGCAGTGTCGATATTTTGAAACAAATATAAGCGGATATTTTGAGGTATCTGTGGCTTCTGACTTCTTTGCAATTAATAATTTCTTTGCAATTCTCTGCAATTAATTTATTTGCCATTTCCTTAAACATTAAAGGAAAAATACTTTTTGTGCTAAGCACCTCCTAGGCTTTTACACTTTGGTGCCTTTGATACTGATTTTTTCCAGTTATAGAGAAGTAAGCTGCATTAAATATGGACACAGTCCTTTGCTCTCCAAGAACTATAGTCTCCCTTTTGCTGGGAAATGTGACACAAGGCCGTGAAGATCACAGTGTCAAAAAGAAATTTAGGTAAAGACTACTCTAATCATCTAATCCTGTAGAAATGCAGCACTGGATTTCTCATATCAATGGAAAAAACATGTCTATCTTTGTTCTGACAGTTGTTTTAATCACAGGAGCTGATTTTAGATGGGCAAACTTCCTTCTTTGGCTGTGTGTAGTTAAGTAAGTCATCAGACAATATTGATTAAACTGAATTAAGGAAAAACAAAAGGTCTTGGTGTTCTGAGGAGACTCACTGCTCAGTTAAAGTGTTTGTCTTTGACAAATCTTTCTTGTAATGTGATGAATGGAAGAAATACTGTGGAAATCATTGTTTAATGCACAATAGATTCCACAGAGACCCTGCTAAAGAACCTGTCCCCTTATAGCCCTCCTTAAGATACTGAAAGGCTGCTCTCAGGTCTCCCAGGAGTTTTCCTGTCTCCATCTGACCCTTCTAACATGGATCTCCTTCATTTTCTTCCTCACCGGAAGAACCCTGTTTCCACTTGTAGTTAGGGAGAGGCCAGGAAAGTGACCCAGAGTGAGCAGAGAGATGCGGTCCCATCCTTGAATTGTCCCCCAGAAGCTGCACTGGGTGCTGCGGAGCAAACGGCTCTGACAGGGCTCATATGGCATAGCCTGGGAGCACACTGGGGCGCAAATGCGGTGTTTTAGACATCTGCTTTTGCCACCTGCTCATTAACAGAAGGTGGATTCTTTCTTCCCAGCAGCAGAAAGATAACTCATTGTGCCTTCCTGCTAATTACAGCTGTGCTCTTACCTGGTAGCCGGAATCATTACAGGTCATGTAACATTTGCCACAGTTGATACACATTTCCTCGTCAATCAGAGCCACAACTTGCTCTGTGTTGCAGAGCTCACCATATGTTCCAATATACTGCAGCGCTTTTCCAATTACATCCTAGGGAAAAAAAAATTATTGACTCATTTAGAAGATACCTAAGCTGTTTCTATAGCTGCACAGGAGCACTCTCTAGTACTTTAATATAGAAAAATTGGCCAGGCATTGTGAGGATGTTTATGATTTTTCTTATAAATTTCCAATTTGTCAACTCTCAAATATTCTGTAAAATACAAAGAAACCTTCATAACAGTACATTTTGAATGTAGGCAGCAGCTTTAAAAGTATGTATCTGTATATAAATACATTATACAAATAGCTTACACATGTGGTACCTTTGAACATACTATTTTATCTGTCCATGTTTTACCATTACTGTGTGACATTTCAAGAAACAAAATGGTGCACAAAACAGGAGTGACATGCTGCTGACAATCTGACCATCCTTGGTCATTTTGCATTAGCACAGATTTGAGAACTCAGCAAGAAAAGTTCGAATAAACCGAGAATAATAATTGCTTTTCTTTCTTTAGTAAGAAAGATGCACAGATGACATGAAGATCATCAGATTATTCCAAATATTGTACAGAAATAAGATGTAGGTCTTGTTCTGCAAGTTTGGGTTCAGTTCTTTTAGCTACATAGGAAAGGTTTTTTTTGGCATCAAGTGTGCACACCTGTGCTGCAAAAGTAAATGTGCATGGCAGACGCACACAGTGTGGGTACACACCATAAGAAGAGGACGTGCCCTCTAAAAGAAATTGTTGGGGACCTACCTGATGCAAATCATTTGCTCTTTATGTAATGGGAAACTGCACAGTTCAGTGGCAGTTCAACTGCGCTGAATGAAAGGCAGGAATGGGACAAGTCCCAGGTTCTATAGACAATAGATATCCCTCAGTCAAATCAGCTTAACTTGCGGAAGTACAGCACAGATGGTGAACATCACTGCATTTTACAAGATTCTCTCTGAGGTACAGTATTCCTTGCCTGGATATTTTCTGAGTTTGCTAAGTATGCTTTGACAACAATTCTCATGCTGCAAAACAAGCTAGATTTTAAGTGCAGGGTTCTACATGGTTAAAAAAAAGTTGAGCTCAATAAATTCACATTATGTGATGCAAGAATACATTTTACATTTGCTTTAAAAAGGGGTATAACTGTTAGATATTTCAAAAATCTTACTGAATTTTAGGTGCACAGACCTGGCTTCAAAGTCACGCTGCTGTAATAAATGAAGAAGTCATTATGATTTTAATTAGGGAAATTGATAAAAGTCAACTGAAAAATGCTAGAGATCAAACCAAAAATGAGACACAGACAAGTCTACCTAGAATTACAAGCTTCAAAGTACTTACCCTTGGTCTTTCGCTGGCAAGAAACATGATAAGAGTTTGTTTTCATATTGTTTCTCAGTCAAAAAAAAACCCAAAAAAACTACCAACCGTTTTCAGTGTCTTCTAGCACACTATAGTTAAACTGTATAATTTGTAATCACACACAATGCTCACTATAGTTTTCAATTCTCAAATAGAAAAATGAAGATCTGGATTCCAGTACCTAACATTTTCATTGCTTATGTTGTTCTGGGCAGCCTTAATTTCAGATGAACTAAGCATCACCAATCCTTCCTATGCCACATCAGAGGAATAAGGTAACACAGCTTTATCAATGTTAATTCTAAAGAAAAGCTTTGCTACATGGATTAAATATAGAAATTGGTTCAACCTTTTCTTTCTGAGATTGCTGAGAGCTTTGAACATCGTCTCCATTTGCCTGGCCTTCATCAACTAAGTTACAGTAGTGTCTTTACACCCTGAGATAAATCTTGTATCTCACTGGATGCAATGGTAGGATCTATGAGGTTGCTGTTAATTTCTGCTGAGGTAGGAAATTCAGCGATATCCCAGAAGAAGGATAGGGAAAATATACTTTTTTTTGTTGTTCCAAAAATGTTCAAATTTTTTCTCTGTGCCAAATCCTAACTTGCTTACAAGTGACATACCTTGGTTGCATTGAGCCAACGCTAAAAGCCTTCCAGTTCTCTGCAACATGTAAAGAACATTAATGTTCTTCCAGTATAAAATGTCTATGGCACATTGCTTAAGGCAGCATGATGAGTGTGGACAGATGACTTCAAGTGAGCAAGTTATCACAGCTTAATGAGTTAGCACTCATCAACAGAGCTGTGCAAGCTGATTATGTGCACGGTCCAAATTCACTGCAAATTTGGAGTAAAATCTGTTTGCTTAAACCACTGTAAAAGGTCAATTAACTACTTTGAAAGTGTTTAAGCTAATACTTTTTGCTTTGCTATTGCAAAGGGCTAAGCTTGAACACACAGCCCTTTTGCATACCTCCTCTGATGAACACTAACTCAATCAAACATAATTCCTTAGGAACTGCTCGTGCCCCTGTGTTTTCTTTTTCTTTCTCAGAAGAGTTAATGGATTTACTGGGAATTGTTCAGCAGTTTTCAGGTTGCTACAATTCTCAGGTTTCTGCAGTTGTCTGTATCTGCTGAAAAATTGTACTTGTCAAATTCAGCTCCTGTTTATTTCAAGTCTCATGTAGGCTTGTCTGTACCATACCTGTTAGAGGTTTCTTTGTGATCTACTGCCCTCAGCAATGATAAGTATCCTGTAAGCCTCTCTCCTGTGTATACAGCTCCCAAACACTGCACGGCGTGCCACGTTTGTTGTCTACATTTAAGGGACTGTGCTTCTGTCTTTTAGAATCTGAAGGAGTGATACAAAGCCTGTGCAACATACAGAGAAGAAGCTTTCCATTGCCTGCTCACATTTTAAAAGGGTCTACGCGGGAGATCCCTGATAGTGAAGGGCTTTTTAATCTAACAAAGGCAGACATTTAAACAGCATAGGTAATTAACAATTTTTTCAGGGAGTTGCTGGATTCACATTTGTATACTTTAAATATGGTTTGGACGTTACAAAGGCCAAAGCTCTGGCAGGTTGCAGAAAAGGGCTGCTCATATAATCAGGGGGTGTAGAGCCTTGCTTACAAGAGAAGACAAAAAGCGCCTAACAAGATGTTTAGCCTAGGAAGATGAAGGCAGAGCAGGAATATCATGTCACTTTATATATGCACCAGGGAAGGAAGAGAGCTATTCAAGATAAGCAACAATGTTGGCACAAGAACGCATGATTATAAGCCAGACATGAATAAATTCAAAGCTGGAAATTAGAAAAGGTTTCTTTTAAGCAGGAAAGGAGTGAGGTGGTTAATGGCCTTCCAGAGAAGCAGCTGGGGAAAAGGATGGAAACAGTCCAAGATTTAGGATACCATTAGGTAAGCTCAGGAAATGGTTACTAAGCAGAACATGATCAAAACAGACTTTTCCAGCTATAAACTTACAAAGGAAATAGCAAAAACAATGCATATGACATGGTGATTTCTGAATTTGTAAGCAAGTCTCACTTCTCAAAGCTCACAAAATACCCTTTTGGGGACAGAGAAACCCAAAGAGGGAGGGTGCTGACATTTTGGAGGCTTGAAAGTGATTTCAAATGACTGTGTCAATGATTTACTTCTCATTTGTGCTTCGGGATGCTGCGTCTTTTATGCACTTCCTTCTCTCAAGGAGAAAGCACATCTTTATCCATGTGCAAAGTTTGAAGACTTTATTGACGAAAATAACACTGGTACTTAAAAGATGTTCTGCAGGTGCACTCTTTCACAGTGTCTCGAGCTATCTCTGAGTTTCTTGCTCCCATTGAATCATAAATGTTTGGAACAAAATAAACAGTGCAGCAAGAAACAATCAGCTTTCACAGTTTAAAAATGCAGTTTCACTCCAATAAGAGTCTGTCTAAAATGGCACTATGGGATTCCACACTTGGTATATCTCAACGGCCTCCAGATCAAATTTGCAGTGTTTACAGTATAATGTTTTCTTTTGTGCCAAATGCCAGACCTGCAAACAGAAGCCAGGTTTCGAACGTCAAGCTGTGCGCTTCTGGCTTGTACATTACCAGCAGCAATTAACAAAAAAATGAGGAAAAATCTGGAAGTTGAATTTAGCCCTAAGTGACACCTTTGCAATCACTGGGACCTAGAGCTCTCATTTGGTTACTGCTGTGCTGTCCCACTCTTCTCAACAAAACTGTACCGAATGAAATGGGAGAAGAATTTAGTCCCTTAAATGGAACTGGCAGGGAATTCAGTTGCTATGGAGAGAATCAGAGCAGAATCCATTAGTTTTATGTTACTAATGAGTGCAGAAAAAATTCATTTTGTCACTAAGCTAAGCAGATGTGGTTTTGAGTATACACAAGGAGCAGATCTGTTCTGTAGGATATTATTTTTACAATGCTACTTTTATTACCATAGCTGTATTTCTAATGTTCGTGTATCAAACATTTAATTGAGATTAGCGTTTCATTAGCCATCATATTAGTAAACCTATATTTGTAAATACAATTCACAGCTTAGGCGTAGCTCACCCTGATTCATGCAGATTCCACTGAAAAAGACCGCGTGCTCTGGAGATGCCAAACATCACAGTCCTACTTTAGTCTCCATTCAGAAGGCCAGCACGTAATGCAGGCACTGTGAGCATCTCAGTGAGCAGGTCCAAGGGGTGCACATGTGCTCGTCCTCATAGCGACATTTTGCTTCAGCACAAAACTCTTAGCATGGCCCACCACATTCAGGAGAAATGATCACTCAAAGCTGACAGCAACAGCAGGTAAGGAAAGCAGGGAAATCTTTAGATTAGTAGAAGTAAAGACCTGCTGGTTGTGAGTGGCAGTCTGTCCCAAGGACAGGTCTGTGAAGCATAAAAGGAATAAACAGTCAGATAATTGGTGACCAAACATTACAGCATTGGCTCTCAAGCATAAGAAACTAGATTATTGAGAAATAAACCACAGAAATCACATAAGGAATAAAGATTAAAGAAAGAAGGTGGTAACCTGAGGATGGCAAAAAACATATGTGGGACCTGTGCAGAAGTGCAACAGAAAATTGTAACAGAAAAACAGAAAAACAGAAAACCTGTGCAACCTACTGTAGGGAACCTGCTTTGGCAGGGGGGTTGGACTCGATGATCTCTGGAGGTCCCTTCCAAGCCCTACAATTCTGTGATTCTGTGAAAATAAAAGATCTGGGGCGTATATCCACCATATGAAATATAGAAAAGCGAGAAAGGAAGAAAAAAATCTGCTGAGTGTCAAAGTATGCAGTTTTGATTAATACTGAAAAATAGAGAAAATAAAGGGAAAAGCCATGGGGAAAGCTATCCAAAAATCAAATTAAATTTTGGATAATCACAGAGGATTTTTAAGTCTATAAAAAAGGCATTTTGGCAGCACGAGGACTTTAAACAAATGTTGGAATTTACATATCACCAAGCCAACAGCAGATCAGACAGATGAGGGAGTTCTGGGCAAGCATCAGGAAATCTGCAGCACCCTTTCAAAAATGCAGCCAGCCAAACCAAGGGTCTTGGCTGTTGCATGGGCAGCAATGGACTCTTAGGTGCTCCCAGCTTTTGGTCATATCACTGCTCCACAGGGCTGTGGTTGGGCTGGGATTAGTTATTAGAGCTGACCATTCCCACTCCCCTGACAGGCCAGTCTGAGCTAACAGAATGTATTCTCCTTGCTGTCCAGAGGGTCAGCCAAGACGGAACTGCTTGGAGACACTTTGGGATTTGTAATTCTAAAAGTGAATACTTCTAGGACAGCTACAGATAAATCACTCAACTCTGAGCTCATCTGCCTCTCTGCAGAGAATCCCTGATCAGGGAAGGGTATCAGATAAGTCACCTTTTTTCAGTAAGCTTCACTCAGCTTCTGTAATGAATATTCTCAATCTTCCTGGCAGATTTTTTCCACAACGTGTTATGGATGGGTCATTTAATAATAAACGTTATCAACGCATCCTTTTGTAGAGTGACAAGCTCTCTAACATCAAGCAAAATCCAGGTATTCTGTTATTTCTTAGTGGATATCTCTCATTGCTGTTTTTCTCATTATGATTAAAGCATACCCTTCTAAGATGCTAACGATGAAAGATTGTCTCAAATCAGCTGCCTTCTAATTGCCAGTCTTTTTCAGTCTTGTTTAACTTAAATGAAGGTGTGAAAAAGAGCCTAACCCGATTTGTTTGGCTGAGAAGCTCCTCAAAGCCACCACATACAAAAGTATACAGTGCCTTCATGAACAAAAGTTTTCGATTTTGGAATTCATTTTCCTCTTCCCTGCAGTAAGGCCTCTATTCTTTTTAACCTGTCTCTGAGTGCTTGGCTCTTTTTCGCTTTTGTAGTTGGAACTGGGCATGATAAATTATTGACCTCAACTTATTATTTATGTTTTTTTCAAGTCTTTATGTCTGTTTTTCCCTTTTGCTAAATTTTTTCCATCATTCAGTTTATTTGCTTTTGGACAGTATCGGTTGCTTTGTTTTTTTTTTTTCTCATTTTCTGCTGTTTTCAGAAGCACACTATCTCATCGAAAATGCAGTTATTGGCTGTTGTTTCTTCTTTCTCTTTTCTCCTACATCAATACTTTCCTGCAAAGAGAATAGAGCCATAAAACCTCTGAGGTCAAGTAGGCTTTGAAAATGTTCATCATAGTGCAGGGAAAAGAAAAAGTACATTGCTGTTCTTTGGGACTTTTCATACACATAAAGAAGGGAACCTCTGCACAAACAGAGGGGAGAGATTTTCAGTAGGAGGACTCATACCAAAATGATCTGTCCAAAATCGAAGGGAGGTCTACAGCAGTGGCAAATAATTGAAATTAAACAAGGTGACACAAAAATTCTCCTTAGCTTTTTTTTTTTTTTTCAGTTCTAGCAGCTAACTTGGAAGGCTGCGCATGGCAGTAAATGTTGCAAAATTTCCTTGGGAGTTACATAATTTGAGCCACTGTCTGTGTTGTATGTTATGTTTACTTTTTGCAGGAATTCATACAAGACTGATCACACAAAGTTACCTATCTGTGAATCTGATATTCTTCCATATCTGATAAAGACTGTTAGTAACTTCAGCAGATATTTCCACATGGCTTCATAAGAGAGCCTAAGGGAGATTGCTGATAAAAGTTTTCCTTTTGTATTTAATTATTTTTGCCTGATTTTTTTTTTTTTCCTTCTGTTTAAACGTGATGTTTAAGTAGGTTTTAAAGAGAGTACCTAGAATGAGTAGCTGATGACATTTAATTTTATTGGCTATTTAAAGGAAGGGAAAAGTTCCAATGTATGGACTATGCAGTAGATGGGGGCACAGGTTTTATTTTCATCTTGACATTTACTCATTGCAGAGGGTGGATCAGTTCCTTAGACAAACATCTTCCAGCATTAAAAGTTCAGTTTGAAAACCTAGGACTCAGCTCTCATGTGTATCGAACACCAACCTTTTCCACTGATTCTACATGAGAGATGGAATTGTTTAATACATCACAAATAATCAAGAGATATCACACAAAATGGAACTCATACTGTCGTGTTCAAATTAAGAGAAATTTTTAACAATTCAACTTCATTCTTCAAGGCATTCAGAGTGTTCTACAATTACTTTTACACTGCCTGAATATCTTGATTTTGAAAAATGACGTTAGGAAAACACCTATACCTGTACATCACAAATCATTTCCCATCGATTTTGGTTAAAAGCTAGAAAGTCTGCATAAATAGTTGTCTTTGATGCCCTCTAACAAGCTTAAAAGCTGTAATAACTAAGTCAAACTGCTAGAAATGACTATGCATGTCAACTGCCTGATGGCTGATCACATCTTACATATAAACATACCTTTTTTTTTTTTTTTTTTTTTTTTTTTTACCTTGATTGCTGGGATGGGCTTCTTCGGAATGAAATGCTTTTTTTCAGGAAGCACAGCAGCTGTGCCTTGTTCCTTCAATTTCATCTTGTTCTCAGCTATAATTTTTTTGCGTTGTTCCAAGTAAGGCCCAAAACTGGGTAGTTTCTGAAAAGAAAATCAGGAAACGTTATTAATATACTCAATAAGAGGGCATAATAAAATGAGTGTTGAGTGAGACTTGCTTCTTACTCAGGAGATTGAAATAAAAATCAGTGGGACTGTACCAGAGTGAGAAGTGAATAAAAATCAACCATGAGTTCATTCAGGATCTGACTTGAAAATCAATATTGAAAATTAAAATATTAATATGGTGCAGCAGAAAAATAGCTGAATTGCATGTCAGTGTCCAACAGACTTCCATTTCCTTACTGCATGCTTGCTTATATATAAAAATGTACCATGTTAAATAATTCAAATGTATAACTTCATTTCTATAGAAAGTGGAAAGGTATCACAAGACTATCAGTTTACTTAGAAGGGCTCTAGCTGTGTTTGAGACTACTTGTGTAGCTATTTAGAGATACCTGTGTATTTTAAAAGCATACAAACCTGTATTTCAGGTTCTGATACATCAGGTTCTGATGTATTTCAGGTCTTGCCCTGTCAAAGTAATGCTCACAAACTGGCTAACCAAAGTAAGGCTCAACAAACAAACAGAAACACATTATAATCTCATCATTTATCTCCATGAAACACTTGTAGTTTTCTCTGTGACATTTAATCCTTGAGTTCACTCAAGCAAATCCTAAAGGAAAATTTCACTAAATTGCAGAACTCACATGTCACCCAGGAACGTGGAAGTGCTTGTTTAGATTTCATAAACCTGCCAAACTCCCACATTCCTGAAAAAGTCCCTTTTTTGGCAGAGCAGATATACAAAGAAATCTAGCTGACCACTCACAGATCTGATTCAGGTGAATAAATAATGGTAGTAAATATGGGTTTTTGCTTGATGCAACAGACTGTGCCCTTCTTGACCTGAAACTATTTCTTCAGACTGCAAAAAGAATTTTATCCATCTGACTAGGGCCTGTTCAGAAGCTACTGCAGTACTGCAGAAACTAGCAGGTAGTAACAGGGGATACATAGCCTCAGTAGTTGTAGCATTAATTCACACTAATAATACAACCTCAAAGAGCATATCAAACAAGTTACAGTACTGCTGTGGTTATCAATTTTTAAAGAGGGAATTTCAATGTGAATTTTAAAAACAGAATTATTTAAAAATTCAGAAATTATTATTTTTTTAAATGAAGTAAATCCAGAAGAGGATACACTGCTCCACGAGAGAAAAATTCCTCAATGAGCTGTCAGTCAGGATATCCAACCAAGGGACCTCAGGCCTCTTGTTATGACAAATAAGAGCTTTCCTGGCTGCTAGGTTTTTGGCACACAGACCAAAAGTGAGGTCCTTGAAATGTTTCCCTGCTTCCCAGACTTGGTCTGTAGCTGCAACAGATTTTTATCTTCGGGCCAGAACTTGCAGTCTCATGGTGATCTCCAAAGGAGACCTGCTGCAGGCTGGGAATGCCGTATGCTGGGACAATCTCTCAACCTAGGTAAATGCAAGACCAGAACTGAGGTGATGCTGCAGATCCCAGACACCATCTGTCCAAAATCTAGCTATAATTATCTGAATTTGCCCAATGATACAAAGCACTTTTTTCATCTGTTCAATGGGAACTTTGTTCCTATATGTCATGTTCAAGGGCACCCTTAAAGATATCAACAAATCCTTCTTTTCTGTGCAGTTGCCATACATTTGTGATTCATGTTCTTGGAAATAAAAAGGTCTAGGATAGCTTAAATTAAGCTTTTATATATTACCACAAACAGCAGTAACATAGTGGCCTTATGTACCAAAGGAACTAAGTACACAGAGTTATTTTTATAAGGAAAACGAGTAGAAGTAAAAAATTTGTCTAATTTCAGTCTAAACAACGAGCTTTAAAGCACACAAAGAAAGATTGGATTCTTTATAAAAACCTTTAAAAAGAACCTAAGACTTTTAAAAGAAATCTAAAAAAACACAAACTTTGATAGAAAACATTCATGAATACCTGCTAGGCTGCATCAATTAGAAACATATTTTGGCTACAAACAAGCAGTAACTGTGCCACTATTTTGTCTCCATGATGTATGTGCTGATGCCAGCAACTTTGGGCTTGAAAATGAAGCAAACCTGATGACAAAGCATATTTGGACTCTTTCCTGCCTAGCCAGGAACTGAACTGCAGAATAGGTAGCAAAGCTAATTTTGCTGAAATTTTCAGTAAAGTAGTAAAGAGTGAAGGACAGTTGCTCATGGCATGACTGATTGACAATCAACTTTGGGAACTATGGCCAAATCTCTGTAGAATAAAGCCTTTATTTTTCTATTCTCTTAATGTATACGCAATCTCTTACTTACTACAAATGTTGAGCTCATTGAAATAAAATAGGTGATTTGAGGATAAGTACAGAAAGACAATCCATTTTGTTATATAAACAGAGGCAATTAATTCTTTTTCTAAGAAGCAGATTTTTCTATCTGACACAGCCACTAGTTGCAATGCGCAAAGGTTGCTCTGAAAGTAATGCCTCCTATTTGATTATGTTGACCCACAATGTCCGAGGTGGATGTTGGTGGTATGACAATTGAGGTTGAATGTTCCCATCAATATTCCATTTCAGTTTGCTGCTGTGTGACAAATGGTGGCAAAGGGGCAGCCTGATAGAATGGCACCTGTCAAGTGCGTATGAAGCAAAGGTGTGTCACTGGATTCGTTCCTGTCCACTGACATTCATTGACGCTTGCAGAATGTTTATGGAAACCAAGGAGAGGATGTGAGCACAGTGAGATGGTGGGTGGTGCATTTCAGCAGTAGTCACAGCAATGTGAAAGACAAGCCATGTTCTGGATGACCTTGCAAAGCTGTCACATCACGAGATGAAGAGTGTCTCAGTCAGCTCAACTATGTGTATCAGTGGATTATGAACAGGGAATTGTGTAATGAGCTGAATATTGGCTTCAGTGCCTTGGAAATAATGGTGGCAAAGTTAGAATATCACAAAGGTGTGATCCTTTTGAATTTCCTAGAATCTAGACAAATCATCATCTCTGACTGCTATATTGTAACACTGACTATACTGAAAGCTCAAACTTCCAGGGTCAGACCAGAGAAGAAGGCAACCTTTCTCTTGCAGTATTATAATTTCAGGACCAAACAATGGAGCACACTGCCAATCTTGGCTGGACTGTCCACCATACCCATCATATATTTTGGGTTCCTTCTTTTCAAGGCAACGAAAGATGGACTATACGGGCAACATTCTCCCAGCAATGATGCTGTCATAGCAACAATGAAACAGTGGGTCACCTCTGCTGGTGTAGATTTTTATGAACATTGCATGCAGGCTCTTGTTCATTGGTGACGAAAGTGTACAGCTAATGGTGGTGACTATGCTGAAAAAGAGCATTTTGTAGCCAAGAATTTGTTCTATGGAATTTTGTTATCTTTGTGGTCTTTGTAGCTGCTGTAGTTTCCATGGAAATATGGAGGAGGCATTACTTTTGGAGCAATCTACATACCACAGATATTTTGAAATGCATCCAACACCATCATTACCATATCCATATTACTTCAGATGTTTTGTAATGACATGCATGTTGAATTAAACTATATAAAAACTGTGTCTTTTCACACTAAGTGAAGTGATTATTTATTTAGAATACCAACATCCAACCTGCGTTTTTGCTGTGCACTGCTCTATTTCCATCAAGAAATTGATTAAATGGAATGTAAAATAATTAATGGAACATCTAGATCTTCGTCCAATCTCAGGCATGCACAATGAGCTTCTACTGTCTTAACAGAAGATGACTGTGCACCCATACAAATGATCCAGTCATTTTGTGCTTATAGTCTAGTGGTTCACAAGCAGCTAAGCCAGATTTCATCAAACAACACTGAAAAGCAGTAATATTTTCTATAACAATAAATAATACATGAAAATGTAGCCTCAGGAGCTTGGGAAGGACTTATTGAAGGTTCGCCTTATGAGTAATGCACAGATATAGAGAAGGCTGATGAGACCTCTTGTTCAGACCTGTAGTTTCAAGCAGTTTTGAGACAAAGACCATATGAAATGGGAAACAGTATTTTAACAAAGTGAGTTTCCAGATATAGCAGAAGTGAAGACGTTGAAACAACTGCTAAAGAGCTAAATATTTAAGAAATTTTAAAATAAAATCACCTCTGATCATTGTAGGGGATATCTTCCAAAGCACATGGGGGGATTTAATGGCACAGTTCCCAATGAAAGCACAAGAAAAGTGCTGGTGATTTAAATCCCTGCTTGCTTTTTAATTCTTTGTGCTCTATGTCTTGAAATTTATTTATTTTCCACATATCTCCACATCACTAAATTCTTTGTACACTGGTATCTTTGTGACATCAACATCTGCCTAGAAAAAAACAGTGTGAATATGTGGATCACAGCGAGTGTTTAGAAGATTGCAACAAGCAGAGTAATTAGATAATTCTTGTCTGCTTATATATCTGTATCAATGATGTCTATAGCTGCATTATTCCTATCCATCTGTCTCTATATAGCCATAATTTAATGTGTTTCTACTGCAGAGGATAACATCAATAATGGAGCCAAAATAAATATATTAAGTGGTTTTGTTTCATTGTTTATAACTGCATTATCACAAATCTGGAAGCTTGAAATATTATGCTGAAATATTTTACAGAAAGAAAGAAAAAATCCAACCCTCCCTGCTAAAGACTTCCAAAAGCTGCCTTTTAACTAATGAACTGTATAAATCTTCAGCAACATTGTGATTTTTGTTTCAGTAGTTTCTCCAGGGATTCATCATTGATGAATTTGTTCTCACCAGAAAAGCTAAATCCTACTCATTTAGAGATAACAGTATCTTCCACTAAAACTGTCTCTATCCAGATATAAAAAAGCATTACTCTGCCAATAGAGAACTGACAACATAATGAATCAACAATGAAACCTTAAGCCAGGAGAGCTTTAAGGTGAATAAGTCTGTTTTGATTATAATTTATTCATGGATCAATCTAAAGGTAATTGAGCATATTACGAACTAAAAA